GGTGACCCAAAAAGAAAGAAAATCCCCAAAAAGAAAATACTTTCATCATTCACCACTTTCACCTCACTCGTACATAATCACTGTTTTTGCAATGGTGCCCTGATACAACAGTTTAGAAGCATATATAAAGATATATAACATATCCCTCCAAACTGCCAATATCCCAAATCCCCTCCTTTAAAATGCAGACATTGTACTTCCCATTTCCAGTACTCAAGTCCGGCCATATGAAAACAACCGGTTTCCCTGAATCCCTTTACTAAATATTACCCTGCTCACACTCCAACAGCTCATCAGGTCCCAAAAACCATTCATCTCCATTCGCTCCTATCTAATACACACACGCTTTCTGGAAGTCCAAGCCCCTCGCTCACAAAACCCCCTTTACCCCCTCCCTCCAACCTTTTCGAGGATGACCACTACACCGCCTTCCTTCCCCTACAGATTTATACACTTTCCATGTCATTCTATTCTGATCCATTCTCTAAATGACCAAACCACCTCAACAACCCCTCTTCAGCCCTCTGCTAATGCTTTTATTAACTCCACACCTCCTAATTTCCACACTGAATTTTCTACATAATATTTACACCACACATTGCCCTTAGACAGGACATCTCCTCTGCCTCCAATAGCCTCCTCGCTGCAGCATTTACAACCCAAGCTTCACATCCATATAAGAGAGTTGGTACCACTATACTTTCATACATTCCCTTCTTTGCCTCAATAGATAACATTTTTTGTCTCCACATATACCTCAATGCACCACTTGCCTTTTTTCCTTCATCAATTCTATGGTTAACCTCATCCTTCATAAACCCATCCGCTGACATGTCAACTCCCAAATATCTGAAAACATTTACTTCTTCCATGTTCCCTCTCTCCAATGTGATATCCAATTTTCCTTTATCTAAATCATTTGATACCCTCATGACCTTACTCTTATCTATGTTCACTTTCAACTTTCTACCTTTACACACTCTCCCAAACTCGTCCACTAACCTCTAACTTTTCTTTAGAATTTCCCATAAGCATAGTATCAGCAAAAAGTAACTGTGTCAACTTCCATTTTCTATTCGATTCCTCATAATTTAATCCCACCCCTCTCCCCAACGCCCTAGCATTTACTTCTTTTACAACCCTGTCTATAAATACAGTGGACCCCCGGTTTACAATATTATTTCATTCCAGAAGTATGTTCAGGTGCCATTACTGAACGAATTTGTTCCCATAAGGAATATTGTGAATTAGATTAGTCCATTTCAGACCCCCAAACATACACGTACAAACGCACTTACATAAATACACTTACATAATTGGTCGCATTGGGAGCTGATCGTAAAGCGGGGGTCCACTGTATATTAACCCTTAAACAGTCCAAACATATCGACGTTCAAATCCGTAGTGCTCCAAAAGTAGATATACGTTTTTTTTACATATTTTCAAAAATAACAACAAAAAAAATGTAGATAAGTTTTTTACACATTTTTAAATGTAAAACAAGAAAGAATATCTAAATTTTTTTACATACTTTCAAATGTTGAAAAAACGTATATATACGTTTGGACCATTTAAGGGTTAAACAACCATGGTGACATTACACATCCCTGTCTAAGACCTACTTTTACCGGAAAGTAATCTCCCTCTCTTCTACACACCCTAACCTGAGCCTCACTATCCTATGAAAACTCTTTAAAGCATTTAGTAACTTACTACCTATTCCATATACTTTCAACATCTGCCACATTGCTCCCCTATCCACTCTATCATGTGTTTTCTAAGTCCATAAATACAATGAAAACTTTCCCTACCTTTACCTAAATACTGCTCACATATATGCTTCAATGTAACACTTGATCTATACATCTCCTACCCGCTCTAAAGCCTCCTTGCTCATCCGAAATAGTACTGTACTCTCTCTTACCTCTAATTCTTTCAATAATAATCCTACCATACACTTCTGGTATATTCAGTAAACTTATTCCCCTGTAATTTTTACAATCTCTTTTGTCCCCCTTTGCTTTATATAAAGGAATTATACAAGCTTTCTGCCAATCCCTAGGTACCTTTCCCCTCTTTCATACATTTATTAAACAAAAATATCAACCACTCCAACACTATATCCCCTCCTGCTTTTAACATTTCTGTCATGATCCTGTCAGTTCTAGCTGCTTTACCCCCTCTTATTCTACATAATGCCTCACACCTCCCCCACACTCCCATCCTGCTCTTCTTCACTCCTGAAAGATGTTGTACCTCCCTGACCAGTGCATGAAATTACCGCCTCCCTTACTTCATAGACATTTAAAAGTTCCTCAAAATATTCTCGCCATCTACCCAATACCTCCAGCTCCCCATCTAATAACTCCCCTACTCTGTTTTTAACTGACAAATCCATTCGTTCCTGAGGCTTTCTTAACTTGTTTATCTCCAAAATTTGTTACTTTCATCAAAATTTCTTGACAGTCCCTCTCCCACTTTATCATCTGCTCTCGTTTTGCACTCTCTCACCACTCTCTTCACCTTTTACTCTCCATCTACTCTGCTCTTCTTATAACACTACTGCTTCGTAAAAACCTCTCATAAGCTACCTTCTTCTCTTTTATCACACCCTTTACTTCATCATTCCACCAATCACTCCTCTTTCCTCCAGCACCCACCCTCCTATAGCCACAGCTTCTGCTTCGCATTCTAATTCTGCATTTTTAAAACTATTCCAACCCTCTTCAACCTCCCCACTACTCATACTTGCATTAACCCACCTTTCTGCCAATAGTTGCTTATATCTCACCCTAACTTCCTTCTCCCTTAGTTTATACACTTTCACCTCTCTCTTACTTACTGTTGCCATTTTCTTTTTGTCTCATCTACCTCTTACTCTAACTGTAGCTACAACTAAATAATGATCCGATAATCTAACAAACTACTTTCATTACGTGCTATATCATACCTTGTATACTTATTTATCCTCTTTTTCATAAAATATGTATTACTTATTACCAAACCTCTTTCTACACATAGCTCAATTAAAGGCTCCCCATTGTCATTTACCCCTGGCACTCCAAATTTACCTACTACTCCCTCCACAACATTTTTATCTACTTTAGCATTGAAATCCCCAACCACAAGTACTCTCACACTTGGTTCAAAACTCCCCATGCACTCACTCAAGATTTCCCAAAATCTCTCTCTCCTCTACACTTCTCTCTTCTCCAGGTGCATAAATGCTTACTATAACCTACTTGTCACATCCAACCCTTATTTTACTCCACATAATCCTTGAATTTATACATTTATATTTCCTCTTTTCCTGCCATAACTTATCCTTCAACATTATTGCTACTCCTTCTTTAGCTCTAACTCTATTTGAAAACCCTGACCTAATCCTATTTATTTCTTCCCACTGAAACTCTCCCACCCCCTTCAGCTTTGTTTCGCTTAAAGCCAGGACATCCAACTTCTTCTCATTCATAATATCCACAATCATCTCTTTCTTATCATTCGCACAACATCCATGCACATTCAAACATCCCACTTTGACAGCTTTCTTCTTTTTCTTTTTAGTAGGCTATACAGGAAAAGGGGTTACTAACCCATTGTTCCCGGCATTTTAGTTGACTTTTACAACACGCATGGCTTACAGAGGAAAGATTCTTATTCCACTTCCCCATGGATATAAAAGGAAAAGCAATAAGAACAAGAACTATTAACCCTTAAACTGTCCAAACAGATCTACGTTCACATGCGTAGCGCTCCAAAAGTAGATTACGTTTTTTTACATATTTTCAAATATAACAAAAAACATCGATCAAAGGTTTTTTACACATTTTCAAATGTAAAAAAAGAAAAAGAAGCTTACATTTTTTTTACATACTTTCAAATGTTGAAAAAATGTAGATCTACATTTGGACAGTTTAAGGGTTAAGATAAAATCAAAGAAAACTCAGATGAGTGTGTATACATAAACATGTACATGTGTGTAGTATGACCTAAGCGTAAGTAGGAGCAAGACGTACTTGAAATCTTGCATGTTTATGAGACAAAAAAAAAGACACCAGCAATCCTACCATCACGTAAAACAATTACAGGCTTTCGTTTTACACTAATTTGGCAAGACAGTAGTACCTCCCTGGGTGGTTGCTCTCTACCAGCCTACTACTACTACTTAGTTATGATTATTATAGTCAAGGGGGAGTGCTAAACCTGTAGGATTATGCAGTGCCTGTGGAAGGTATTCAGGCTTAATTCAGGGAACTGGAGCACAGATCCATTTCCCTAGATCAAGAGCCCCTCACCAACTGAGGAACCTTCCTTGAGGGGTTATGATTGTTTAAAACTGCCCCTTATTACAAAGTTTTGATATTATAATTAAACCCACGAGTCATATAGCACTGCAGAGCAGGATGTGCTAGAGACATATGCTGGATCAGAGACCAGCAAGGGTTAAGAGTGTGCAAGAGGCAAGGTCAGTAAGGGTAGTGAGGAGTACTAAAGGGAAAGTACAATGATGATGACGAACAGCCTGTTGAGTTTTCCAATTGCTTTTGCAGGTACCTGAACAAAATTGCAATGAGTTCCTTGTGTGTTTAGTGTTTAGTTTTTGCATTATTATAATCAAAAGTGTTCCAAGATGCCATAATGGAGAGCTATGAAAAGATGACTGCAGGTGCTGTATTGCAGCTTACAGGGCAAATATTGGTAGTCAGTGAAGTATATTAAAGATATCAATGTACCTTAGATGGGATTGTAAACTTTTAGAAGGAATTATTGTCACTGGAAAAACAAAAAAAGATTAAGAGATAGTCAGCTGGTACAGTAAGTTTTAGTAGTTATGGAATCTTGTCACTGCTATATTACAACACTTTTAATGCATCACATATATAAGACCACTGTTTTATTATATCACATTTGCTTTATTACTATAATGGGGTAGTACTACACCTGTAGTATAAAATGCTCAGGGAATGGAAAGCTTGATCCAAGGAAAGGGATAGTTCAAATTCTTGGATTAGGTGTACTTTATTGGAACTCAAATGTTCGCTTTTCTGCACAGGGATAAAGCATCGGTTTTGTATATATGTGGTTGAAGATTTATATAATCCATACCTTTATCTGCATTTTACAGTTTAACATATCCAAATGTAGTACAAGGGTCGCTAGTGTATAATTCTGATAACTGGGAGTCGTCAGACTAAATAACTAGAGTGATAAAAGGGGGACAAAAAAATGACTTATAACAAACAATAAATTAGTTTTCCATTTATAGTGTTAACTAAATAAAAAAATGCAATGCAAATGTCACTGAATTTTAAGCAAGATATTAAATTTAAAAGAATGTAATAAATAATTAAGAATACTGTATGCATTAACTGTAAAGTAAATTTTTATATTTAGTAAAAATCTTTCAGATATTACCAGTGTAATTTTAAAGCTATTGCACCATGTACAAAATTCTAGTTCCTAGAAAAGCTGAAGTTCCACTTGATGTAAAATGTATAGTATTATCTTTTAGCATTAGCATGATCTTCTCGTTCAGTTCTTCAGTCTCTCTCAGAGGATTAACCAAATTTGGGATTATCCTTGGTCCAAGAAGTGGGTCTTTGTATCGATGGAGAGTGACTTTCATAGATGGCTTTACACAACGTTCTCGTCGTCTCAGACGGGCTGACACAGAAGCTACTGTGTCTTTCTCATAAATAGGAAGCTGACAGTGGAATAGTCCAATATGAGGCTGTGGATTGATAAAAGATAAGGAAACTGAAGAGGCTATGGTGAAGGTCAAATAGGGCTCTCCAGGTACTACTTCATCTTGAGTGCGCTCATTGTCGCACTCTTCTGTCCAACACATCTGAAGCCCCTCCAGATCCAGAGTGCCACGTAGATAGTCAATATTCTCTTCCAGAATGCTACGCTCGTCAAAATCTAAAGTATCTCTTAGGGCCTTTTCTCCTAATGTGTTCAATCTCTCCCTCACTGCTTGAGCAAAGGGCATAACTTTCTTCATGTACTTTTTGAGATTTGGGTTACTTCCCAATGACCTTGATAATTCTTTGTTATCTGGGAGACAATTATTGTTTGCTTTGTACATATCCAGCATTGTTGTTAAAATAATACTTTGCCACTTAGGAAAGGTCTTTGCTATCCATATGGTGCCATGCGAAGGTGGTTGTGGTAAGGCAAGATTTTCACCTTTTTTAGCCTTAGTGGGAGATGTGTAGGCCTTAAGACGCAGTCGAAAGCGGTGAGAAACATCAGCAAGATATTCTGAGGCTCTTACAAGTACAAGATCTGGTTCCTCAGTTGTCGGCCATCTTGCATGAAGTATAGATCTAGCGTTACCTAGAATTTTTTGCCAAATGTAGTCACATATATGGGGGCAGATGGGAGCAAGCAAGAGCACTTGTGTATTAAGATAACGTTGTACAAGGTCCAAGTGCAGACCAGTCTGAACTTGTGCCCGCTCACGATACTGGTGAAACAAATTGCTGTACTCAAAGAATCCAGTGCGTAGTGCTTCCTTAAACAACATTGTTTTATAATAATCGTCAGTTTCCCTTATCTTTAAATTCATCTCTGACATAAACATCTTATCATTCACCGAGGTAGCTGGGCCAGTACGCATTGAATCTTTCTCTGCCATTAGTTCTTTAGCTAATTCAACAAATGTCCAAAGCCGTAGTACACCAGAGTCTGCCACCTGAGTTTCAAAATTTGCATCCTCTACAGAGTCTCCAGCATTAGCCAGTGCCAGGCGCATACCATCAGCCCCATAGCAGTCAAGAGCATCAGCAAGGGTCAAGAAATTTCCTGTTGATTTTGACATTTTTTCAGAATTAAGAAGAAGATGGCCATTAGCACGAATCCCTTTGGGCCATTTATCAGGTTGAGTAGGCCAGATTGCAGTGTGGTTGTACAAGAAATAAGTTAAATGGTTGGGTACAAGATCTTTGCCTGAAGCTCTCAAATCAACTGGATACCAGTAACCAAACTCCCTACGCATTTTATCGAGAGCTTCCTTCTTTATTCCTGTTTCTGGTACTACATCAGTCTGATAAAAAACAAAATCCCATACTTCTGGGGTCATTTGCTCAGGTTTGATGCCAAAATCACCATAAACAGAACCATAAACATCTTTATGTAAAATATGACACACAGTGTAGTAAGCCATATAAATTGTAGAATCAGAGAGTGATTCTATTAGCCATGTCTCATCCCAAGGTAGACGTGTTCCAAGGCCATACGTTCGAGAACAAGCGTGGCCTTTCAACCACTCTAGAGTAGCGTCAAAATTGCGTCGAACATCTTCGTTGTAAGTTTCCAGGGAATCTAGGTTCTTCTGGGTTTCAGCTCTCCATTTGGGCTCACCATAGTCAAGGTACCATTGATCACAGAGTGCCACAACACACTCATCACCTGATCGGGAAATAATCTGCTTCTCAGGCTCTTGATAAATCATAGCTTCCTTTTTCTTTACTAACATATCCTGTATTCCCTTTTTAACATTTTGTACCTTCTGTCCTTTAAAATCTCCCACTAAGAGAATCCCTTCATAAAAACCATGAAGATATACCTTTTCTTTTGCTTCAATTAATTTTTCTTGGTCATTCTGAGACTTTATTCCCATCATCTGGCAGACTGATGGAGCACTAAGAGTACCATATTCAGGCACATCAATAATTGGGATAGGATCTACATTCACCATTTCTTCAGTTATGCCATATTTTTCCCGCAATGCTGGTTTATTCTTTAGATCCACAAGTGCAGCAAAATCATCAGGAGCATCAGAGGGCACTGAAGTTACAACTCCTGTACCTTTATCTTCCTTCACTGTCAGCATGGGTAAGGTGTAGATAGTTTTGTAACAGGTAAGGGGTGCAGTAAGTTTAGTTCCCATTAGGTCATAACCCTTGAGCTCCAATATTGGTTTTACTTCATTTTCTATACTTAACATCCCTTGGAAAGCCATATTTCTTGCTGCTCTGCGTGTACACACAACAATGTCACCATCTTTCATTTCTACAGCAACATATGTCAAATCTGGTCCAAGCCAACAGTTTGTCTGCCCATACATAGTTTCTGGTCTGAGAGTGGCAGCAACTAGGAACACTGTCTTTGGGGTCAATACTGCCAGTTTTCCTGAAAGCTCTTGCACTTTCATTTTAATAAGTGTATACTCCTGTGGAGCAACACCTTCTCCTGATGACCGATCATGATCCATGCATGGCTGACCATCCTTTGGTGAATATACTGTGTACCTGCAAAGCATAATGTATTTCACCATTTTTAAATTATATGAATATTTAATTTGTTTCATATACAATATTTAGGTTATAAAATAATTCAGTGTTATATGCTACATCCACTCAAGAAGTTAACAATCATTTACATGACAAAGATATATTACTGTCTCACCACCCAGAACATGCCATTCATTTATTTTTTTTTTTAACAAGTTGGCCATCTCCCACCGAGGCATGGTGACCCAAAAAGAAAATACTTTCATCATCATTCAACACTTTCACCTCGCTCATACATAATCATTGTTTTTGCAAAGGTGCCCAGAACACAACAGTTCAGAAGCATATACATATAAAGATATACAATATATCCCTCCAAACTGCCAATATCCCAAATCCCTCCCTTAGTGCAGGCATTGTACTTCTCATTTCCAATACTCAAGTCTGGCTATATAAAAATAACTGGTTTCCTGAATCCCTTCACTAAATATTACATGCTCACTCTCCAACAGCTCATCAGGTCCCAAATACCATTCGTCTCCATTCACTCCTATCTAACAAACTCACGCATGCTTGCTGAAAGTTCAAGCCCCTCGCCCACAAAACCTCCTTTACCCCCCTCCTTCCAACCTTTTTGAGGACAACCCCTACCCCGCCTTCTATGCCCTACAGATTTATATGCTCTCCATCTCATTCTACCGTGATTCATTCTCTCTAAAAGACCAAACCACCTCAACAACCCCTTTTCAGCCCTCTGACTAATACTTTTATTAACTTCACACTTTCTCCTAATTTCCACACTCCGAATTTTCTGCATAATATTTACACCACACACTGCCCTTAGAACATCTCCACTGCCTCCTCCCTGTAGCATTTACAACCCAAGCTTAAAACCCATATAAGAGTGTTGGTACCACTATACACTTTCATACATTCCCTTCTTTGCCTCCATAGATAATGTTACCATGACTCACGAAATCATAATGACACAATTGCAAACAAACCATACCACGGGCGGGGATAGAACCCGCAATCAGAGTCTCAAAACTCCAGACCGTTGCGTTAGCCACTGGGCCAGCTAGCCACAAAAAGATTCATCCAACTAGGTATATTTCTACACCACAGGAAGGTTAGCATAGGCACCACTGTGACCACAAATGCAAGTTTTTACCGACGAATCTTCAGCTAGCATGGCTGTGACGAACTCTAGCTCAAGTCCCCTCAAAACCGTCAACATGACTCATGAAATCGTAATGACTAACGTGATGGTCTGGAGTTTTGAGACTCTCTGATCGCGGATTCTATCCCCGCCTGTGGTATGGTTTCATAGATAATGTTTTTTGTCTCCCCATATACCTCAATGCACCACTCGCCTTTTTTCCTTCATCAGTTCTATGGTTAACCTCATCCTTCATACATCCATCTGCTGACACGTCAACTCCCAAATATCTGAAAACATTCACTTCTTCCATACTCCTCTCCAATTTGATATCCAATTTTTCTTTATCTAAATCATTTGATACCCTCACCACCTCAACCACCACTTTCAACTTTCTACCTTTACACACTCTGCCAAACTCGTCCACTAACCTTTGCAACTTTTCTTTAGAATCTCCCATAAGCACAGTATCATCAGCAAAAAGTAACTGTCAATTCCCATTTTGTATTTGATTCCCCATAATTTAATCCCACCCCTCTCCCCAACACCCTAGTATTTACTTCTTTTACAACCCCATCTATAAATATATTAAACAACCATGGTGACATTACACATCCCTGTCTAAGACCCACCTTTACCGGGAAGTAGTCTCCCTCTCTCTACACACCCTAACCTGAGCCTCACTATCCTCATAAAAACTTTTTGCAGCATTTAGTAACTTACTACCTATTCCATTACAGTGGACCCCAAACGTACGATGTCCCCAACCTACGTTAAAACTAACCTACGATGCATTTCAGCATAAAAATTTGACCCCAACGTACATTGAAAATCGACCTACAGCATTCGTCTGGTACCTGTCCACATGTCTGTCCGTCTGAGTGCGCCTCAGTTGGCCTGCCTTCAGTTAGTGTGCCAATGTTTACAAGCCAGAGTGGTCGCTCCCAAGCATACAATCGGAATATTTTGTATTATTCCATTGCTTTTAGTGCTTCTAACTGCTAAATAAGCAATCAAGAGCACAAAGAAAGCTTCTAGTGCCAACCCTGTGGTAAAAAGGGTGAGAAATACTACTGAAATACTATCGTACCACAGTCAGCTGCTGCTGCTGCTGTAGCACCATCAGCTGCTGCTGCTGTAGCACCGTCAGCTGCTGCTGCTGCTGTAGCACTGTCAGCTGCTGCTGCTGTAGCACCGTCAGCTGCTGCTGCACCATGGTCAGCTGCTGCGGCACCATGGTCAGCTGCTGCTGCACCACGGTCAGCTGCTGCTGCACCACGGTCAGCTGCTGCTGCTGTAGCACCGTTGTTGGTGTGGCTTATCAAGAATACCGAGAAACAATTAACCCCAGAGGGTTAGCCACCCAGGATAACCCAAGAAAGTCAGTGTGTCATCGAGGACTGTCTAACTTATTTCCATTGGGGTCCTTAATCTTGTCTCCCAGGATGCGACCCACACCAGTCCACTAACACCCAGGTGAACAGGAAAAAATGCCTGGAACTAGTGCTCATATTGGTGAATTTAAGGCCAGCAAAGGTTGGTTTGAGAGATTTAAGAATCATAGTGGTATACACAGTGTGATAAGGCCTGTTCTGGAAGAAAATGCCAAACAGGACCTACATTACTCAGGAGGAAAAGGCACTCACAGGCACTCGTGTATGTACTACTCTACTATTGTGCACGTATCCTTCTTATCCTTTTTGTGTGTAGGAAAATGTATATTTTATGTGGTAAAAAATTTTTTTTCATACTTTTAGGCATCTTGCAAGGATTAATTTGATTTCCATTATTTCTTGTGGGGAAAATTAATTCAACTTACGATCATTTCGTCTTACAATGGGCTCTCAGGAACAGATTAATATCGTAAGTTGGGGGTCCACTGTACTTGCAACACCTGCCACATTGCTCCCCTATCCACTTTATCATATGCCTTTTCTAAATCCATAAATGCAATGAAAACTTCCCAACCTTTATCAAAATACTGTTCACATATAAGCTTCAATGTAAACACTTGATCTACACATCCCCTACCCACTCTAAAATCTCCTTGCTCATCTGCAATCCTACATTCTGTCTTATATTACCTTATATTAAACTTATATTACAATTCAACATTTCTCAGTTATCACCAGTATCAAGACATGAATCACACTATGAATTTCTGTAACAAAAATACCCATAAAGTTTTAAGCATAAATTATATTATTTAGCAAAAAAATTGACTAGTCTTACTGCATGCTTGAAATGTGAATATGAGCACTGAGAGCCAAAGTACAGTGGAATTTCAGTACTCAAACTTAATTGGCTCCAGAAGGCTGTTCTAGTGCCGCTCTGTTCGAGTACAGAATAAATTTTTCCCAACCAATTTTCTTTTTGGCTGGTTGTTATCACTAACCCTCTTAGGCCCCCATGGTGACTTATTTATACAAATATAAGAAACAAAAAAATACGAAGAAACACGAAACAGTTTGCAGCGAAGTTCTGGCAGGCCGTGTTAGTTTGGGTGAGTGTCAAGCAAACGGTCGACTACCAAGCAATTTGTTTACCGAACAAAGCGTTCAAATACCAAATTGTTCGAGTAAGGAGCTGTTTGAGTACCAAGGTTCCACTGTATTTAGTCTTCTTCCACAGCTAAATTAAAATTTCTGTTGTTAAGATCCCATACCTCACAACCATATTAATCAAGACAATGATCACTTACAGGTTGTAAATTGGATCTAAAATCCTGGATTTTTTTTTTTCAACAAACCTGCCATATCCCACAGAGGCAGGGTGACCTAAAAGGAAAAACTCTAGTTTTGCTTTTTAAATCTAGTAATTTATACAGAAGGGGTTACTAGCCCCCTTGCTCTCTCCTGAGTAGATGCCTTCATAATAAGATTAGTTCAAAATACATTACCTTTTTCCAAATTGAATTTTGCCTCTTTCCTTGAGATGGAGAAATTGCCATCGAACAAAAGAGTCATAAAAAGGATTACGATCTGTTGTAATGAAAGATCTTCTCCAATCTACATGGAGTCCTACTCGCTTGAGATCCTTCACACAAAGTGGTGGGAAATACTGAAGCCAGTGATCTTCATCAGTAAACTTTTCAATCTCCTCATCCTTAATCCCAAGGCTCTGCATAATTTGCCATTGGAATTTAATGCCTCCAGTTTTGGCAGCAGCTTTACTCTAGAAAAAGAACATTAATTTACTCGAGTATGAATTAATATTTTTTAACAGTTTTTTCTTTTTACAAAAATACAACAATATACACAGGGCACTGATTGTTTTAGCATAAATGAACTTGTAGCAGATTAAAAATTAAGTAAATATGAAGTGGGATAGAACAGACCTTTATCATATTTGCAAATGAAAGTTACTATACATGAATACATGACAAAGATCAAGGACTTAAATGAGATATTTACAACTAACTTTCTAAAAAATGTCATTATGTAGTGTTGGTGTCATTTTATTCATGAACAATGTTGCATACAACAAAAATCACTAAATGTAAACAAAAACTTATGAAATCCATATTTTTCCTGCAGAGCAAGGAAAAATACGGTGTGTCCTGGCCAGAATGTAACATACGTTAAATCTCGACTTGGTGAGGGAATGAGATTTTGTATATCATATTAAAAAAAACTTCACTACTTTGTGGATTAATCACATTAAACAAACTAACCAAAGAACAGAACTCTAAAAGTAATACTTGACTTGGATACAAATTACCCAATCTCTTTCCATACTTTTCAAAGATTTTAATTATTTTTTTTACCTTTTTACCCCTAGCCTTGTCAATGACAGCCACTTCTTTGGGCTGTGTAATCCGCTGGTCTTCATCATTGTCTTCAGGGAATTTGGGTGGACACCCAAAGTCAGCAACCTCTCTTTTCAGCTTGTCTGCACTAGCTTTTATTGGCATGCCTGAAAAAATAGCTCAAGTTGAAGTTACTGTTCAGAAATAAAAATAAAGCTATATGTTTCCCCAATTCATCAGATTAGCCCAGTATATATAGTTACTGCAGTTAATCACCTATTAAACATATAGATATCCAGAGTTAAAAACCATTCTTTGCTAGAAAAATACCTGTACAATGTAGTCCAAAAGGAAAAAGGCATTTCTTCCCCTTCATACGTTGGTACCCCACAGCAAACTGAAATCAAAATGACTATTATAAAAATCACCCATAAAGGGTTTGAATAAGTGATACAGAAATGTTCAAATTTACTAGACAAATAGTGTAATAAAACAAAAGCTCCCTGTACTTCACTTGTGTATATTTTCAACTGATAGTAACCAGTTTTTTCTGTAAGATCAAAGTGATTCATTACTTTCCATATACACTGCACTACTTGATTAAAGTTGACTTATCAAGTGAAGTTTATGTCTTCTCACTCTCACATATTCTCCTACAACATGCTTCCACCACTTAAAAATCCAGCAAGCCTTCACATTAAATGCCTATTTCAACACTCCTTCCCAACTTTGTATTTTTATTACACTATTGTACTGATATCCTAACCATACCTCCAATGAAAAAGCAGGGGCATGACAAGTACACTTAAGAGAGAAGTTAGTGTTACAGGTCCCTGATACTTCAATGCTCTCCCTCCAGGAATAAGGGAAATTACCAACAAACCTCTGGCTGTCTTCAAGAGAGAACTGGACAAGTCTCTCAAATCAGTAACTGATACGTGGTCTGTACACTGGAATGTGTGTGACCAGCAGTAGCCGCCTCTTTGACCAGTTTTTGATCCTCCAGGAGGTCTGGTGTAGGGTTAGGCTGCAGAGGCACTGACCCCCAGAAATGTACTTTAGGTTCATGTATTCTTTCCCTTGCCATTCATCCCACATGACAAACACTCTTTCCCTTTCTCTCTCTCTTAATACCAATATTAAAGAAGGAAACAGACCAGCCAAAGATTTATGGTAATTATTTATAATCTATCCAACAAATAATACCTTGTCCACTAAAGAACATGTAAAAGACTTTCTAAACTTACCCAATTTACACACCTCATTCGTATGTAAACTGGGTACACTACATGGATATACAGGCATATCAATGCAGTTAACACCCTTAACAATGGATCAACAATGCTTTGCTGGTTGCTGCTACTATAGTTTCCAATATGAAAAAAAAAAATTGTATTTAAAATGCTTACCTCACATTTGCTGAGGGAGAATGTGTGCCCCAAATGTAGGCGGCCATTCATGTAAGGATAAGGAAACGTCACCATGAACTTTTCCTCAACACTACCAGCCAATTCTGCTGGGGCATCCTCCTCAAAGATACTTTCCTCATCCCACTGTTTCTGAATTAATGATTCTATAGAAAGTAAATCTTCCAGTTTTTTACGAGACATCTGAAGAAAAAAAAAGTTATATTACATAGGTTTAAAGAAAACGCTTAACAATATAATACAGTGGAACCTCGTTTTTCGGCCGCTGCTTTTATCGGCCAATTCGTATTTAGGCCGGTTTTTCGGTGGAAATTTTGCTCTATTTCAGCCACTGCCTCGTATATTGGTCGTACGTATTAGACGCATCAGCCCAGGATGCCGCATGTAGGCGAGTCAGGCTCCCTTTGTCTGTCAGCAAGTGAGCATATACTCTGCGTATGCATCCAAACATTTCCTTAAAATCCACTGTTTTTGGTGGTTTTTTATTAAGTGTGACTGTGAAATAAGTCACCATAGGATGTATGGCAAAAACAAATCAACAATCACTTCTATCCTGGCAAAGAAAGAACAAATCAAGGAAGCTGATGTGGCTTGTTTATTAAGTGCAACTATGAAATAAGCCACCATGAGCATGGAGCGTAGCAGGCTGGCAGGGAGTGTATTAGGCAGGCAGGGAGTGTAGCAAGCATGCAGGGAGTGTAGCATGGAGGCAGGGAGTGTAGCAGGCAGACAGGAAGTGTAGCAGGCAGGCAGGAGTGTAGCAGGCAGGCAGGGAGTGTAGCAGGCAGGCAGGGAGTGTAGCATGGAGGGAGGGAGTGTAGCAAGCAGGCAGGGAGTGTAGCAGGCATGCAGGGAGTGTAGCAGGCATGCAGGGAGTGTAGCAGGCAGGCAGGGAGTGTAGCATGGAGGGTGGGAGTGTAGCAGACATACAGGGAGTGTAGCAAGCAGGCTGGGAGTGTAGCAGGCATGGAGGGAGTGTAGCAGGCATGGAGGGAGTGTATCAGGCATGGAGGGAGTGTAGCAGGCATGCAGGGAGTGTAGCAGGCAGGCAGGGAGTGTAGCATGGAGGGTGGGAGTGTAGCAGGCTTACAGGGAGTGTAGCAGGCAGGCTGAGAGTGTAGCAGGGGAAACAGGGGGTGTGGAAGGGAGGCAGGGAGTGTAGAAGGGAGGCAGGGAGTGTAGAAGGGAGGCAGGGAGTGTAAAAGGGGAGGCAGGGAGTGTGAAGGGAGGCAGGGAGTGTAGAAGGGAGGCAGGGAGTGTAGAAGGGAGGCAGGGAGTGTAGAAGGGAGGCAGGGAGTGTAGAAGGGAGGCAGGGAGTGTAGAAGGGAGGCAGGGAGTGTAGAAGGGAGGCAGGAGTGTAGAAGGGAGGCGGGAGTGTAAAAGGGGAGGCAGGGAGTGTAGAAGGGGGGGCAGGGAGTGTAGAAGGGGGGGCAGGGAGTGTAGAAGGGAGGCAGGGAGTGTAGAAGGGAGGCAGGGAGTGTAAAAGGGGAGGCAGGGAGTGTAGAAGGGAGGCAGGGAGTGTAGAAGGGGAGGCAGGGAGTGTAGAAGGCATCAGGGAGTGTAGAAGGGCACTCAGGGAGTGTAAAAAGGCACTCAGGGAGTGTAGAAGGCACTCAGGGAGTGTAGAAGCACTCGGGGAGTGTAGAAGGCACTCAGGGAGTGTAGAAGGCACTCAGGGAGTGTAGAAGGCACTCAGGGAGTGTAGAAGGCACTCAGGGAGTGTAGAAGGCACTCAGGGAGTGTAGAAGGCACTCGGGGGAGTGTAGAAGGCACTCAGGGAGTGTAGAAGGCACTCAGGGAGTGTAGAAGGCACTCAGGGAGTGTAGAAGGCACTCAGGGAGTGTAGAAGGCAGGCAGGGAGTGTAGCATGAAGGGAGGGAGTGTAGCAGGCATGAAGGGAGTGTAGCAGGCAGGGAGGGAAGTATCCCCAGAGAGGGCTTTGATACTTGAAGTCCTTATGGAGGGGGATTCCCCTTCCAAACAATAATCAGTCCTCCCTCTCTCCATAAGCCAACAAGTCTTCAATAAAAGTATGTAATAGTGAATGATTCAAATATTTTATTTTATTTAGTTCTCATTGTTTTGTGTGAGTAAAACTATAACTAATCTTTAAAAATGTATTTTTTGTGAATATTTTTAGGTGTCTGGAATGGATTAATTGTACAGTATTTACATTAATTCTTATGGGAAATATTGCTTTGAATTTAGGCTGACCTTCTGGAACGGATTATGGCCAAAAAACGAGGTTCTGCTGTATTTTAAAGAGTATAAATGGTTGCCTAACTATCCACAAACATGAAAAATTATGTAACAACTGGCAGGCATGAAGGGCATAGTGTATATTTACAAATTACGATTTTATTCTGAATGGCACATATATTACTAATGCTCATCATGCAACCCATCCTCTTAGCTCCCATAACAATCTATATGGATTTCTCATATGGCTTGCAGCAAACTTTTCAAGTAGGTTAAGTTTGGTTGTCCTCTATCAATAAAAATTTCCAAATATAATATACTACAATTGAAACAGCATAAATATAAAATGAAGTCCATAAAAAGTTCTGGGACAAAGACAGAAAATGCACATCAACTAAGTGCAAAAGAAATAACTATGTAAGATTTTCATGGCTTAATGTAACTTCATCAATTACTCATTTGACTGTCTTTACAACTGTGAAATGATATCTATGTTTAAAACCTCTGGTCTGAGGTTCGATTCCAGGGCGAGTGGGAACGTTTCCTTACACCTGCTGCCCCTGTTCACCTAGCTATAAGTATATACCTGGATGTTAGCTGACTGGAGTGGGTCTCATCCTGGGATAGAGGATTAAAGGACACCAATAGAAATAAGCCAATCTGATAGCATGACTTTATTGTGCTATCCTGGGTTACTAGCCCTTTACCTGGAGTGGGTTTTGGGGGTAAATGCCCTCACAGCCCAGCCTGAGACCAGACCTGGGTTAATAATCTGAACAAAATTTTTTTCCTCTTCAAGTCACTAGATGCTCTAAGCTCCAGTCACTGAATAAGACACATGCAACACATGGGTATCTTTGTTATGAAGATATTCCACAACTGGTTGGCTAAACATCATAATAAAGATACAGTGGACCCCCGCTTAACGATCACCTCCAAATGCGACCAATTATGTAAGTGTATTTATGTAAGTGCGTTTGTACGTGTATGTTTGGGGGTCTGAAATGGACTAACGTACTTCACAATATTCCTTATGGGAAAAAATTCGGTCAGTACTGGCACCTGAACATGCTTCTGGAATGAAAAAATATCGTTAACCGGGGGTCCACTGTACTTAGGTGTTGCACACATCTTATTCATCAACTTGTTGGTATCACTAATCTAATGCTCACTAGTTACCAGCTGCTACAAGTAACCAGCTACTGCATAAAAAATTTTATCTGGATTATTAACCCTGGATTATCTAGGCTGGAATATTGCTGCACTCTAACAGCACCTTTCAAGGCAGGTGAAATTGCCGACCTAGAAAATGTACAGAGAACTTTCACGGCGCGCATAACGGAGATAAAACACCTCAATTACTGGGAGCGCTTGAGGTTTCTAAACCTGTATTCCCTGGAACGCAGGAGGGAGAGATACATGATTATATACACCTGGAAAATCCTAGAGGGACTAGTACCGAACTTGCACACGAAAATCACTCACTACGAAAGCAAAAGACTTGGCAGACGATGCAACATCCCCCCAATGAAAAGCAGGGGTGTCACTAGCACGTTAAGAGACCATACAATAAGTGTCAGGGGCCCAAGACTGTTCAACTGCCTCCCAGCACACATAAGGGGGATTACCAACAGACCCCTGGCAGTCTTCAAGCTGGCACTGGACAAGCACCTAAAGTCAGTTCCTGATCAGCCGGGCTGTGGCTCGTACGTTGGTTTGCGTGCAGCCAGCAGCAACAGCCTGGTTGATCAGGCGCTGATCCACCAGGAGGCCTGGTCACAGACCGGGCCGCGGGGGCGTTGACCCCCGAAACTCTCTCCAGCTAAACTCCAGGTAATAGGAATAGTAATCCAATATGTCATTGAGGACAATGCAGCCCACACCAGTTACTTAGCACCCAGGTACCTACTTACTGCTGGGTGAACAAGAGCCTACAGGCATAAGGAAACATGCCCAACGTTTCCACTCATACTGGGGATCAAACCCTAATCCTTCAGTGTGAGCTGAGGTGGCTACCAACTGAGCCACGAGACAATAAATCACTAATACATGAGAGCAAAATTAGCACAATACAAATTCCACCTTAAATTTATAATTATTTACCGGCCTCTTGAACCTACCAGCCTACTACAACAAGCACTACTCTATGAAACTACAGCCATCAGTTATAACAACCATCATAACTACCAGACTGGAGTTTACCTGGAGAGAGTTCTGAGGGTCAACGCCCCCGCGGCCCGGTCTGTGGCCAGGCCTCCTGGTGGATCAGAGCCTGATCAACCAGGCTGTTACCTCTGGCTGCACGCAATCCAACGTACGAGCCACAGCCCAGCTGGTCAGGTACCGACTTTAGGTGCTTGTCCAGTGCCAGCTTGAAGACTGCCAGGGGTCTGTTGGTAATCCCCCTTATGTATGCTGGGAGGCAGTTGAACAGTCTCGGGCCCCTGACACTTATTATATTGTCTCTTAACGTGCTAGTGACACCCCTGCTTTTCATTGGGGGGATGTTGCATCGTCTGCCAAGTCTTTTGCTTTCGTAGTGAGTGATTTTCGTGTGCAAGTTCGGTACTAGTCCCTCTAGGATTTTCCAGGTGTATATAATCATGTATCTCTCCCGCCTGCGTTCCAGGGAATACAGGTTCAGGAACCTCAAGCGCTCCCAGTAATTGAGGTGTTTTATCTCCGTTATGCGCGTCGTGAAGGTTCTCTGTACATTTTCTAGGTCAGCAATTTCACCTGCCTTGAAAGGTGTTGTTAGTGTGCAGCAATATTCCAGCCTAGATAGAACAAGTGACCTGAAGAGTGTCATCATGGGCTTGGCCTCCCTAGTTTTGAAGGTTCTTATTATCCATCCTGTCATTTTTCTAGCAGATGCGATTGATACAATGTTATGGTCCTTGAAGGTGAGATCCTCCGACATGATCACTCCCAGGTCTTTGACGTTGGTGTTTCGCTCTATTTTGTGGCCAGAATTTGTTTTGTACTCTGATGAAGATTTAATTTCCTCGTGTTTACCAAATCTGAGTAATTGAAATTTCTCATCGTTGAACTTCATATTGTTTTCTGCAGCCCACTGAAAGATTCGGTTGATGTCCGCCTGGAGCCTTGCAGTGTCTGCAATGGAAGACACTATCATGCAGATTTGGGTGTCATCTGCAAAGGAAGACACGGTACTGTGGCTGACATCCTTGTCTATGTCGGATATGAGGATGAGGAACAAGATGGGAGCGAGTTTATCTGGAGTTTATCTGGAGAGAGTTCCGGGGGTCAACGCCCCCGCGGCCCGGTCTGTGACCAGGCCTCCTTAGGTCAGTGTCCCAGGATGCGACCCACACCAGTCGACTAACACCCAGGTACCCATTTTACTGATGGGGAACATAGACAACAGGTGGAAAGAAACACGTCCAATGTTTCTACTCTGGCTGGGAATCGAACCCAGGCCCTCACCGTGTGAAGCGAGAGCATTAACCACCAGGCCACCAGAGCCTGTGCCTTGTGGAACAGAGCTTTTCACCGTAGCTGCCTCGGACTTTACTCTGTTGACGACTACTCTCTGTGTTCTGTTAGCGAGGAAATTATAGATCCATTGACCGACTTTTCCTGTTATCCCTTTAGCACGCATTTTGTGCGCTATTTCGCCATGGTCACACTTGTCGAAGGCTTTTGCAAAGTCTGTATATATTACATCTGCATTCTTTTTATCTTCTAGTGCATTTAGGACCTTGTCGTAGTGATCCAATAGTTGAGACAGACAGGAGCGACCTGTTCTAAACCCATGTTGCCCTGGGTTGTTTGTGAGGAAATTATAGATCCATCTACCAACTTTTCCTGTTATTCCTTTAGCACGCATTTTGTGCGCTATTACACCATGGTCACACTTATCAAAGGCTTTTGCAAAGTCTGTATATATTACATCTGCATTCTTTTTGTCTTCTAGTGCATCTAGGACCTTGTCGTAGTGATCCATCAATTAAAACAACCAGTATTTATAACTACCAGACGAATCATCAGTTAAAACAACCAGTATTTATAACTACCAGACTACAACCATCAGTTAAAACAACCAGCATTTATAACTACCAGACTACAACCATCAGGTAAAACAACCAGCATTTATAACTACCAGACTACAACCATCAGTTAAAACAACCAGCTGTTATAACTACCAGACTACAACCATCAGTTAAAACAACTAGTTGTTATAACTACCAGATTACTACAACTAACAATGTCGCAGCCACAAGTGTTGCCAACGATGTTAGTTAACAAGACTGTTATGACCAAGCATATGGTTCTTCACAACATACGGACACCGAGTCTGTAATACACTTTAACATCATTACACTTGTCTTCTTAATAAATATAACCGGGTGAAAAAGTATATCGTCACACCGCTTATACGGAACACATCTATTTGAATATAGTCTGCAAATGACCCTTCCTAACGAGCTAATTACCTTGAAATATGACTGAAACAATCAGAGTGAGTGATGTAAACACCGGCTGCCCACAACAGTCCTGGTCACACTGTTCGAACTCCTTCCTAGGCCACGTCATATTCTTATTTAACCACGTCAAATAAAAATGCACACAATTTAAAGCAACTGATAGCACTATAAAGTGCAGCTCAAACAGCTTTGGCTTGATTTTGATGTTACCTTTAATAGTGTTGCTCTTAATTTAAGGCTGAATGTGAATTCGGAAACTCTTCAGGGATGCGAATGCCAGTTCCAGCTTACAATCGGGTACAACGTGCTCAATATTTTCTAGCCTTTGATATTTTTTTATTCTAACATATAAGAGCTAAAAGTTAGATTAATTCTTGTGTATATATATGTGTGTGTGTGTCTTCCCGGAAAATATTCCGGAAATCAACGCCCCCGTGGCCCGGTCTGTGACCAGGCCTCCCAGTGGATCAGGGCCTGGTCAATTAGGCTCTTACTGCTGGCCGCATGTAGTCCAGCGTACGAACCACAGCCCGGCTGATCCGGCACTGCTTTTAGGTATCTGTTCAGCTCCCTCTTGAAGACATCCAAGGGCCTATTGGTAATTCCCCTTACGGTTGGTGGGAGGCTGTTGAACAGTCTTGGGCCCCGGACACTCACTGTGTTCTCTTAGTGTACTAATGGCGCCCCTACTTTTCATTGGGGGTATTTGCACTGCCTACCCAGTCTTTTACTTGCGTAGGGAGTGATTTCTGTGTGCGGATTAGGGATCATTCCTTCTAGGATTTTCTAGGTGTAGATTATGATGTATCTCTCGCCTGCGCTTCAGTGAGTACAAGTCAAATTACTACAAAAATGGTTCTACATGACCATAATCTTTAAAGGGGTGGACCGGTAAGCCAGCGGAAGGCCTCGGTCAGATGACCAAAAGCTCCAAAGGCGGGTCATCATCTGACTAAGACCTACGTCAGGAAACATTTGTCCTGTTTCCTGACGAACCTTACTTAGCCTAACCTAGTACAAGTCAAGTGCTTCCAAGCGTTCCCAGTAGTTACAGTGTTTGATGGAACTTACATATACAGTAAAGGTTCTCTGTACATTCTCTAGATCTGCAATTTCACCTGCCTTGAGTGGAGATGTTAATGTACAGCAGTATTTCAGCCTAGTGGGTGTGTGTATATGTGTACTCACCTAATTATAGTTACAGGGGTCGATTCATATCTCCTAGTCATTGTGGTAGTCTACAAGCCTCCGGATGCAACATCCCAGCAATTCCAGGAACAGCTGTTAAAAATTGACCACTGTCTGGAAAATCTTCCAGCTCCTCCTCCAGGTAAACTCCTGCACCCAACATCTTGCTCCTGGGGGATTTCAACTTAAGGCACCTAAAATGGAGGAATATAGCAAATAATATTGTTGCAGTAATAACACCAGGAGGCAGCTCTGATGAAAACTCACACTCACACGAGCTTTTAAATCTCTGCACAAAATTCAATTTAAACCAGCAAATAATAGAGCCTACTAGACTGGAGAATACACTAGACCTCATCTTCACTAACAATGATGATCTGATAAGAAATGTCACCATATCAAAAACAATATACTCAGATCACAACATAATTGAGGTTCAGACATGTATGCGTGGAGCCCCAGACCGACATAATGAGACTAGTCACGAGGGAGCATTCACCAAATTCAACTTCAATAACAAAAACATAAAGTGGGACCAAGTAAACCAAGTCCTAACCGATATAAGCTGGGAAGATATACTAAGCAACACAGACCCTAACTTATGCCTAGAACAGATTAACTTGGTGGCACTCGAAGTATGCACAAGGCTTATTCCTCTAAGAAAAAGGAGGAGTAGATGTAAAATAGAAAGAGACAGGCGCTCCCTTTACAGGCGACGGAAAAGAATAACAGAGCGGCTAAAAGAGGTCAATATATCTGAAATGCGTAGGGAGACACTGGTCAGAGAAATAGCAAGCATCGAACTTAAGCTAAAGGAATCTTATAGGGTCAGGAATCGCGGGAAGAACTAAAAGCCATAAATGAAATCGAAAGAAACCCAAAGTATTTCTTCTCCTATGCCAAATCAAAGTCGAGAACAACGTCCAGTATTGGGCCCCTACTTAAACAAGATGGGTCCTACACAGATGACAGCAAGGAAATGAGTGAGCTACTCAAGTCCCAGTATGACTCAGTTTTTAGCAAGCCGCTAACCAGACTGAGAGTCGAAGATCAAAATTAATTTTTTATGAGAGAGCCACAAATTTTGATTAACACAAGCCTATCCGATGTTATCCTGACGCCAAATGACTTCGGACAGGCGATATATGACATGCCCATGCACTCTGCCCCAGGGCCAGACTCATGGAACTCCGTGTTCATCAAGAACTGCAAGAAGCCCCTATCACGAGCCTTTTCCATCCTATGGAGAGGGAGCATGGACACGGGGGTCGTCCCACAGTTACCAAAAACAACAGACATAGCCCCACTCCACAAAGGGGGCAGTAAAGCAACAGCAAAGAACTACAGACCAATAGCACTAACATCCCATATCAATAAAATCTTTGAAAGGGTCCTAAGAAGCAAGAACACCACCCATCTAGAAACCCATCAGTTACACAACCCAGGGCAACATGGGTTTAGAACAGGTCGCTCCTGTCTGTCTCAACTATTGGATCACTACGACAAGGTCCTAAATGCACTAGAAGACAAAAAGAATGCAGATGTAATATATACAGACTTTGCAAAAGCCTTCGACAAGTGTGACCATGGCGTAATAGCGCACAAAATGCGTGCTAAAGGAATAACAGGAAAAGTCGGTAGATGGATCTATAATTTCCTCACTAACAGAACACAGAGAGTAGTCGTCAACAGAGTAAAGTCCGAGGCAGCTACGGTGAAAAGCTCTGTTCCACAAGGCACAGTACTCGCTCCCATCTTGTTCCTCATCCTCATATCCGACATAGACAAGGATGTCAGCCACAGCACCGTGTCTTCCTTTGCAGATAACACCCGAATCTGCATGACAGTGTCTTCCATTGCAGACACTGCAAGGCTCCAGGCGGACATCAACCAAATCTTTCAGTGGGCTGCAGAAAACAATATGAAGTTCAACGATGAGAAATTTCAATTACTCAGATATGGTAAACACGAGGAAATTAAATCGTCATCAGAGTACAAAACAAATTCTGGCCACAAAATAGAGCGAAACACCAACGTCAAAGACCTGGGAGTGATCATGTCGAAGGATCTCACCTTCAAGGACCATAACATTGTATCAATCGCATCTGCTAGAAAAATGACAGGATGGATAATGAGAACCTTCAAAACTAGGGAGGCCAAGCCCATGATGACACTCTTCAGGTCACTTGTTCTATCTAGGCTGGAATATTGCTGCACTCTAACAGCACCTTTCAAGGCAAGTGAAATTGCTGACCTAGAAAATGTACAGAGAACCTTCACGGCGCGCATAACGGAGATAAAACACCTCAATTACTGGGAGCGCTTGAGGTTCCTAAACCTGTATTCCCTGGAATGCAGGCAGGAGAGATACATGATTATATACACCTGGAAAATCCTAGAGGGACTAGTACCGAACTTGCACACGAAAATCACTCACTACGAAAGCAAAAGACTTGGCAGACGATGCACCATCCCCCCAATGAAAAGCAGGGGTGTCACTAGCACGTTAAGAGACCATACAATAAGTGTCAGGGGCCCGAGACTGTTCAACTGCCTCCCAGCATACATAAGGGGGATTACCAACAGACCCCTGGCAGTCTTCAAGCTGGCACTGGACAAGCACCTAAAGTCGGTTCCTGACCAGCCGGGCTGTGGCTCGTACGTTGGTTTGCGTGCAGCCAGCAGCAACAGCCTGGTTGATCAGGCTCTGATCCACCAGGAGGCCTGGTCACAGACCGGGCCGCGGGGGCGTTGACCCCCGGAACTCTCCCCAGGTAAACCCAGGTAGCCTCGCCTCTTCACTGGTCAATACTAGGTCCACTCTCCCTGCTCCCTGAGTCCTGTCGTACCTCTTCTGAAAGCTGTGTATGGTCCCTGCCCCCACTAGGGATACCAAGCCCATGATGATTCTCTTCAAATTGCTTGTTCTCTCTAGGCTGGAATACTGCTGTACACTAACATCCCATTTCAAGGCAGGCGAAATTGCTGACCTAGAGAATGAACTGAGAAGGCACACGTAAGTACTTTAAAGTACCTAAATTACTGGGAACGGTTAAAGTCCCTTGATTTGTATTCCTTGGAATGCAAGAAAGATACATGATAATATACACTTGGAAAATCCTCGAGGGATTAGTACCAAATTTGCACACTATAGTCACTCCCTACAAAAGCAAAAGACTCGGCAGGGGCTCCACGAGTACACTAAGAGACAACACAATAAGTGTCAGGGGCCCAAGAATGTTCAACTGCCTCGCAGCATACATAAGGGGGATTACCAAGAGACCCCTGGCTGTCTTCAAGAAGGCACCGGACAGACGCCTAAAGTCGCTACTTGATCAGCCGGGCTATCGGTTCGTATGTCGATTGACGTGCGGCCAGCAGTAACAGCCTGGTTGATCAGACCCTGATCCACCACGAGGCCTAGTCACGGAGCGGGCCGCGGGGGCACTGATCCCCGAAACCCTCTCCAGGTATACTACACCACTCTTCAGACTATTCCACTTTCTAACAACTCTATGACTGAAGAAATACTTCTTAACATCCCTGTGACTCATCTGAGTCTTCATCCTCCAATTGTGACCCCTTATTACTGTGTCCCATCTTTGGAACATTTTGTCTGTCCACCTTGTCAATTCCTCTCAGTATTTTAGGTTGTTTTTGCCCCCCTCCCTATCTCTTATGCCCTCCAGTGTCGTCAGGTCGATTTTCCTTTACCTCTTCTCGTAGGACATGCCCCTTAGCTCCGGGACTAGTCTCGTTGTATTACTATTATTATTATTATTATTATTATAAAAAAGAAGCGCTAAGCAGTCTCGTTGTAAACCTTTGTACTTTTTTTAATTTCTTCACGTGCTTGACCAGGTGTGGGTTCCAGACTGGTACTGCATACGCCAGTATGGGTCTGACGTACACTGTGTACAGAGTCCTGATGATTCCTTAATAAAGTGCCGGAACGCTATTCTTAGGTTTGCTAATGTGTGTATGTGTACTCACCTATTAGTGGTTGCAGGGGTTGAGTTACAGCTCCTGGCCCTGCCTCTTCGCTGGTCGCTACTAGGTCCACTCTCCCTGCTCCATGAGCTTTATTGTATATCTTCTTAAAATGTGTATGGATCCTGCCTCCACTACATCACTCCATCCTGTTACATTTCCTAACAGCTCTATGACTGCAGAAATACCTCCTAAACATCCTTGTGACTTATCTGAGTTTTCATCGTCCAGCTGTGACCCCTTGTTGTGTCACATCTCTGAAACATCCTGTCCCTGCCCACCTTGTCAATTACTCTCAGTATTTTATAAGTCGTCATGTCTTCCCTATCCCTCCTGCCATCCAGTGTCGTCAGGTTGATTTCCCTTAACGTCTCCTCGAAGGATGTTAGTTGTGTGTGTGCGTGTGTGTACTCACCTAATTGTGGTTGCAGGGGTCGAGACTCAGCTCCTGGCCCCGCCTCTTCACTTACTGCTACTAGGTCCTCTCTCTGCTTCCTGAGCTTTATCATACCTCTTCTTAAAACTATGTATGGTTCCTGCCTCCACTACTTCACTTGCTAGGCTATTCCACTTCCTGACGACTCTATGACTCTATGTGTGTGTGTGTGTGTGTGTGTGTGTGTGTGTGTGTGTGTGTGTGTGTGTGTGTGTGTGTGTGTGTACTCACCTAGTTGTACTCACCTAGTTGAGGTTGCAGGGGTCGAGTCTAAGCTCCTGGCCCCGCCTCTTCACTGGAAGCTACTAGGTCGCTCTCCCTGAACCATGAGCTATATCGTACCTCTGCTACCTTTGAAACTTGTCATGATTGTGACCAGCTCTACCTGGAGCTCATTACCTTTGTAAATTCTCATGTTTAATGTGTTTATGATTCATTACGTTTGCAATTATTCATGTGTGACCAGCTCTACCTGGAGCTCATTACCTTTGTAACTTGGTCATGATTATGACCAGATCTAGCTCATTACCTTTGTAACTTGCTCAGCTATCAAAACTTTGGAGTCCAGTCCCTGGACCAATTATGTACCTCTGTAATCTTTTGACTACCGCCCACAGGATGGGTATGGGGTGCATAATAAACATATTAAACTAACTAACCTCTGCTTAAAGCTATGTATGGATCTTGCCTCCACTACATCGCTTCCTAAACTATTCCACTTCCTGACTACTCTGTGGCTGAAGAAATACTTCCTAACATCCCTGTGATTCATCTGTGTCTTCAGCTTCCAACTGTGTCCCCGTGTTGCTGTGTCCAGTCTCTGGAACATCCTGTCTTTGTCCACCTTGTCAATTCCTCTCAGTATTTTGTAAGTCGTTATCATGTCCCCCCTATCTCTCCTGTCCTCCAGTGTCGTCAGGTTGATTTCCCTTAACCTCTCCTTGTAGGACATACCTCTTAGCTCTGGGACTAGTCTTGTTGCAAACCTTTGCACTTTCTCTAGCTAGGTGTGGGTTCCAAACTGGTGCCGCATACTCCAATATGGGCCTAACGTACACGGTGTACAGGGTCCTGAACGATTCCTTATTAAGATGTCGGAATGCTGTTCTGAGGTTTGCCAGGCGCCCACATGCTGCAGCAGTTATTTGGGTGATGTGCGCTTCAGGAGATGTACCTGGTGTTATACTCACCCCAAGATCTTTTTCCTTGAGTGAGGTTTGTAGTCTCTGGGACCCTAGACTGTACTCCGTCTGCGGTCTTCTTTGCCCTTCCCCAATCTTCATGACTTTGCACTTGGTGGGATTGAACTCCAGGAGCCAATTGCTGGACCAGGTCTGCAGCCTGTCCAGATCCCTTTGTAGTTCTGCCTGGTCTTCGATCGAATGAATTCTTCTCATCAACTTCACGTCATCTGCAAACAGGGACACCTCGGAGTTTATTCCTTCCGTCATGTCGTTCACAAATACCAGAAACAGCACTGGTACTAGGACTGACCCCGGTGATAAGATAAGATAAGATAAGATTTCGTTCGGATTTTTAACCCCGGAGGGTTAGCCACCCAGGATAACCCAAGAAAGTCAGTGCGTCATCGAGGACTGTCTAACTTATTTCCATTGGGGTCCTTAATCTTGTCCCCCAGGATGCGACCCACACCAGTCGACTAACACCCAGGTACCTATTTGCTGCTAGGTGAACAGGACAACAGGTGTAAGGAAACGTGTCGGAATTTCCACCCGCCGGGAATCGAACCCGGGCCCTCCGTGTGTGAAGCGGGAGTTTTAGCCACCAGGCCACCGGGCCTGTGTGTGTGTGTGTGTGTGTGTGTGTGTGTGTGTGTGTGTGTGTGTGTGTGTGTGTGTGTGTGTGTGTGTGTGTGTGTGTGTGGTGTGTGTGTGTGTATGTGTGTGTGTATGTGTGTATGTATGTGTGTGTGAATGTGTGTGTGTGTGTGTACTTACCTATTTGTGGTTGCAGGGGTCGATTCACAGCTCCTGACCCCGCCTCTTTGCTGGGCGCTATTAGGTCTACTCTCTCCCTGCTCCATGAGTTATATCGTATCTCTTTTTAAAGCTCTGTATGGATCCGGCCACCACTACATCACTCTCCCCCCTCAGGGAAGGTTCCTTGATGTTGGTGAGGGGCACTTGATTTAGGGAATTGGATCTGTGCTCCAGTTCCCCGAATTAAGCCTGAATGCCTTCCACATCCCCCCAGGCGCTGTATAATCCTACGGGTTTAGCGCTTCCCCTTGATTATAATAATAATAATAATACATCACTCTCCATATTGTTCCACTTCCTGACAACTCTATGGCTGAAGAAATACTTCCTAACATCCCTATAACTCATCTTAGTCTTCAACTTCCAGTTGTGACCTCTTGTTGCGGTGTCCCATCTCTGCAACATCCTGCCCTTATCCACCTTCTGAATTCCTCTCAGTATTTTGTTTGTCGTTACGATGAAAGATCAGTGCATATAGCACAGATACAGTACAATGAAAAATCAGTGTATGTAACATGCATAATAATAATAATAATAATAATAATAATAATAATAATAATAATAATAATAATAATAATAATAATAATAATTTTTATTTGGACATGATACCCCTAAAGATTAATGTATATGATATAGATAAAATGAAAAAAAAATCAATGTGTGTAGCCTATGTACAATGAAAGATCAGTGAATATAGCAAAGATACAATGAAAGATCAGTGAATGTAGCAAAGACAGAATGAAAGATCAGTGAATGTAGCATATACAATGAAAGGTCAGTGTATGTAGCCTAGATACAATGAAAGATCAGTGAACGTAGCCTATATATAATAAAAAAAACAGTGTATGTAACGCAGATACGATAAAAGATCAGTGGATACAGCATAGATACAATGAAAGATCAGTGTAACGTAGATACAGCGACAACGCAGAGACAGCAAGATAACATTCAGATAACATATAGATGCCTATTATGCATTTTAAACCGTTATGCCGGCATCATTTCCACTTCAGTTACTAATTGAAAAATAACTAATTCCCCATTGTGTGTAGCTGAGTGTCACGCATAGAAAAATAAATCTCGTAGAGTATGATTCGCATTAATTCTCATAGGTGGCATGAGGAGGCATGAGGCATGCGAGTGAGTGTGTGAGTCAAGGTTGGGCGTTGAGTGCTTGACAACAACACAACTACTGAGGTTTAGGAAGCTTACACAGGTGTCTCTTCTCAACTTATTGTTCCATCAAGATGGGGACCATTGGTCAGGTAAAGTTGAACAGTTTTGCTGCTTTTAAACCTGCTCGTCTTGCAAGTTTTCTGTCTCACTGAGGCAGGTCTCTATATGTGGATGTATGTTTCTGCAAGTGGTGTGTGGTAAGCTGGCATAGAGAAGTATATGTTGCTGGGAGTGACTGCTTGTTTTCAGAGGGAAAACTTATTACAGTAAGATTAGTACTTGTAATATATGCAAAAATGGTGGTAGTCGTAATGGTAATGATAATCTATGTAACTGTATTTGTGTATACCTGAATAAACTTACTTAAAACTTACTTTTTCAAATTCAAATTCAAAGTTTATTCTCTATAAAGATTACAATGTTGAATTTACAGAATTTGGTTGTTGTGTGGTTTACATGTAGTTAAATAATGATTACAGAGTGTACCACTAGAACGCCTAGCATGGCTAGGCATTTCGGGCAGACTTAGTTTAATTCTTTATTTTAAAATATTACAAATTATGAGGTAAGTTGGTATTATGGCTAAGTGACTAAATACTAGTTTGTGAGTTTAGCAATGTGAATGCTTTTGTTTTGGCACAGTACATAGTTTCAGTATTGGAGTATCATAGGATTCATTATTTTAAGATTGAGATTAATATTTCTGTTTATGGTCAAATGGGTGAGTGAGTATAAGTGTGAACCACTAGGTGGTATTCGTGTAGTTAGTTGATGGGGTGTATCAGGGAGATAAGATGTTTTCTAATGGTAGTTTTGAAGGTGATGAATGTGTCTGCAGTTCTAGAGTTCTCAGGTAGGGTGTTCCAGATTTTAGGGCCTTTGACATACATTGAATTTTTGTAAAGGTTCAGTCGGACACGGGGATGTCGTAGAGATGTTTGTGTCTGGTGTTATGCCTGTGGGTTCTGTCACAACTATCAAGAAAGTGTTTTAGGTCAAGGTTGATATTGGAGTTTAAGGTCCTGTTGATGTATATTGCACAGTAGTAAGTGTGGATGTACTGAACAGGGAGTAAGTTTAGATCTATGAAGAGTGGGGGGGGGGGTGTTGCCAGGGATGGGATTTAGTGATTATTCTTACTGCAGCTTTTTGTTGAGTTATTATTGGCTTTATGTGTGTTGCTGCAGTTGATCCCCAAGCACAAATAGCATAGGTGAGGTATGGATAAATAAGTGAGTGGTACAGTGTGAGAAGGGCATTTTGCGGCACGTAGTATCGGATCTTGGAGAGGATCCCAACCGTTTTGGATACTTTTTTGGTTATGTGTTGGATATGGGTGCTGAAAGTCAGGTTGTTGTCAAGGTATAGGCCTAGGAATTTGCCCTCATTATGTCTGGTAATTAGAGTGTTGTCGATCTTAATGTTAATTTGTGCATCTCCTGCTCTGCTAGCAAACATAATATAGTAGGTTTTGTCAGTGTTAAGCGTAAGTTTATTGGCTGTCATCCAAGTCGATATTTTGATCAGCTCCTCGTTAACAATGGTGTTGAGGGTGGCAAGATTAGGGTGAGAGATGACATAAGTCGTGTCGTCAGCAAAGAGAATGGGTTTCAGGTGTTCGGATACGTTTGGAAGATCATTGATGTATATGAGGAAGAGCAGGGGACCAAGGACACTTCCCTGCGGAACTCCAGTATCAAGTGGCCGTGTTGTTGATGCTGTGTCTTTAATGGTGACATACTGATACCTATTAGTAAGGTAAGATTTGAAATAAGCAAGCGCATGGCCTCTTATACCGTAATGGTCAAGTTTGTGGAGTAGGATGTCGTGGTCTACTGTGTCAAAAGCTTTTCTTAGGTCAATAAAAATTCCTAGTGGATATTCCTTATTTTCCAATGCTGTGTAAAGCAGATCTAGCATTTTTATGATTGCATCATTAGTGCTTTTATTTTTCCTGAATCCAAATTGGCAGGGGTTGAGTATGTTTTGTGCTGTTATAAATGAATATAGTCTCCTGTGCACGAGTTTCTCAAAGATTTTGGATAGCAATGGTAAGTTTGATATTGGCCTATAGTTGTTTAAGTCTGTAGGGTCACCACCTTTATGTATTGGTGTAACCCTTGCCATCTTGAGTAGTTTTGGGAAGGTTCTAGTTTCTAGTGACTTGTTAAAAAGTAATGAAATAGCATGCGAAAGGATATGGGCCACTCGCTTGTACAGTAATGGTGGGACATTAGACAGATTCCCTGAGTTGTTTTTAAGTGACTTTATAATCTCGGTGACTTCCGAGGGCTCAGTTGGTGCAAGATAGAAGGAATTTGGGAAATTCCCATCTATGTAGTTCCCGGCATGGGCATTGGTATGTGGGATTTTATTGGCGAGATTAGATCCTATGGTTGAGAAGAAGTCGTTTATCTTGTTACTGTGTCAGTGGGATGTAGTGGTGTTTCATTAGGTTTAGTTAGGACAATATTCTTGTTTTTTTTTTCAGTTTGTGGGTCCCTAGAATCTGAGAGAGTGTTTTCCAGGTCTTTTTTATATCTCCTCTAGTGTCTGTGAATCTACTGGAGTAGTATAGTTGTTTGGCTTTCTTTATTACTTTGGTGAGAACTGATGAATAGTGTTTAAGAATATCTTTGTGTATTAATCCCTGTCTATATTGCTTTTCATATTGGTGTTTCTTGTCAATGGATTTCAGAATGGTGCTGGTTAGCCATGGGCAACCAAGCCGTTTGTTTGTGATGTTTCGTTTTTATAGGACAATGTTTGTTGTATTACCTGGAGAGAGTTCCGGGGGTCAACGCCCCCGCGGCCCGGTCTGAGACCAGGCCTCCTATAGTCTAAGTAATTTGTTAAGAAAAATGTCTGTCCAGTCATCAATACCATTGGCCTTGGAGAATTCTGTAGGCCAGTCAACAATCTCTAGGTCAGCTGTGAACTTCCTTATTGAGGCCTCGTCATGGAGTCTAAATGAGACTTTGTTGTATTCAAGTGGTGGTTTACTAATGTTTGTCAGGAGGAAGGTAGGGTAGTGGTCTGTAGTGCTATCTGTGATTATCCCTGATTTAAGGGGGGCTAGTATATTGGTCCATATGTGGTCTGTTATGGTTGCACTTGTCTCAGTGAGCCTGGTTGGTTTAATTATTGTTGGTATGAGAACTGTGTTGTTCATATTGTTGATGAAATCAGTTACAGGCTGATCATCTAGTAAGCCAAGGTTGATGTTGAAGTCTCCAGCTAAGAGAAGGTGGTGCTTATTCATTTGTCTGTTTGTTATTAGTGACTTTAATTTCTCACTGAAATTTGGGATGTTTGTGTGAGGTATCCGGTAAATGGCACCGATTGTTATAGGTGTCTTAAGGTTTTTTACAGTAAAATTAGCAAAAATGTATTCTCCATATTCATCACTAAAGCAAGTGGTGCTAATACAAGATAATTGGTTAGAGTAATAGATTGCAATACCACCCCCAACTTGGTTTGGTCTGCAGTTGTGAATTGCTGTGTATCCTAGTAGACTAAAGTAGAGGGTAGATATCTATTGTGTCCTGCTTAAGCCAGGTCTCAGTAAGAATATGTAATGCAGGAGAAGGGTGTCTTTAGTGATTCAAGGAGTGCCAGGAGGTCATCATAGTGTTTGCTTAAGGACCTGATGTTGTAGTTAAGTACTGATAGACTTTTAGCATTGTTTAGGATAGTGCTGGCTTGTGATGCTGTGTAATAAAGGCAGTTACTTTCCAATAGCGAAGTGAAATTCTCATTTTTACTGACGTTCATCTGTTGACAGTAGCATCTTATTTGTACCACCATCATATCACCTGTACCAGTGCTAACGAGAGGGAAACACAGGAGACATCGTCAAATCAACAGTACAAAACTCCAAGGTATAGGACGGTTATCCCTCAGTGCCAGTCGTGGGAAAGAAGTGAATAGTTAAATAGTCAAGGTTAATGTTTTAGTAGCTGACCTATATTCAGCTGACTAGTATACAGGGAGAGAATCATAGCAGAAAAAGCCAAATATATCTATAAACTCAAGGAAAGTCAGGTTGTAGGTGGCGTTACTCCCCCTCAGTGTTTTAAAAATGGCTGACTCAGCAGAACAGGTCAGGAGACAACAACACGACACAACCCCCGATAAATGGAATTGAGGGGGATTTGGAAGGATAAAACCATTGATTAAACCTTTCTGGTCTACCAGAATGGAAAGGAGTTAGAAGTTAATTGGTGAAGCCAGACTGTGAAGTGAGGTGGGTAGGGGAGTGTGTAATAAGGGGTGAACTATAAGGGGTTTGTGAAGTTAAGGGAAAAGTGAGCAGTGAAGAGGGTTTTGAAGAGGAAATTTTACTAGTAATTCAGTGTGATTGCTAAAGCAGATACTAAGTGTACTAGGGACTGGACAAGAGAAATAAATATTATTGTATATGAGTAAAAGAGCGAAGAGTGAAAATGGCAGGCATTAGGGGGGTACAGGCTGCCATAATTATATTTATCTTTCTTCTTCAATTCCATGAAGAAAGAAATCAGTCATGGGGGCTGGAAAAGGTGAATGGAGTAACAGCGCCCTGGACAGTAAAAGCCCAACAGTTGCCATCCTACCAGAAAAGTAAACCTCACTATCGCCGCAAGGTATGGCAACACCGCATACCCAAACAAAAACAGTGGCACACAGCTCTTATTGTAGCGCTCTTAAGTGGTGATATCCAAATTACTCCAGGACCTCAAACTATTGTGCAGAGGCAAAACAGACAGATAAATGACGGCGATAATGACGGTCTAGTTTTTTTTTTTTTTTTTTTTTTTTATTCGCCGGTATTCTCCCGGCCCGGGTCTTTTCCAAGTAGTGGTGACACGGCCTTGGCTCCCTATCTGGGGAGTGTCTCGAGATTTAAGTCTCCCATGGGAGGAGGTACAGTACCTCCTCATCTTTGGGACCAAGTGTCCCCAGGCCTAGCCACATTCCCCGCCCTCACGGGGCTCGTAGGGAGAAGCTAGGCCTCTGGTCTGCCATCTACCCCGCCTCAAAGGGGCTCGTGGGGATGGCAGTCTTATGAGCTGCAGATGGTAGCAAGCTCAGCCCTGACGGTCTAGTA